GGTCAGTCAGCACCAATGCAAGCAACCAACAGCAGGCGGGCGACCAAAAGCATTTGTGTAAAGAAAAAATAAAGGTTTTAGTGAAAAATCTGTTGCTTTTAAAACGATTTTTAACATGTTCGTGTTTTCCGCTTTGCTCAAACGTGACCTTTAAAGTGCGCGCATAAATCTTAGCAACCAACATATCCGTTTCAGCTGCGTTGAGCTGCTTATAAATATTTGCCTGGCATTTTTTTGGACTTTTTGATTGCGAATGAATAAAATGAGCAATTTTGGTGGAGTAATAAATTAATAATATTATTAAAACTTTAATTCGAGGAAGCATTAAGAGCACAAAGAGCTAGTAGAAATTGCAAAGCAGCGCAATGGAAAATGCTATTTACTTTTTATTAAATTGTGTAAATATATATACCTTCATTTGTCAACAAAAATTTTTCTTTTATTATTTAGTAAAAAAGTGGTTAAAACCTTTTTGTTTTTCAAAATAATGTGACATCGAAGTCCATTCCCAGCTGCAGCCTGATCTCTTTCATGCAGGTCGTAAATATGGTTGCCGTAGACTCCCTGGGGTAAAGGGTTAGAGTCTCCGTATCATTTACCTTTCAGCACATACCAAATTCGAATAAAGGTCTGCGGGCGGAAGTAACTCGGAAATATAGAAATTAAATCAAAAATGGGGGGAAGACTCCACATTGTAGATTCCATGTGTATATATATCTACTGAAAGTTCAAAGAACATTTGATGGCCAGAGTTTGTTAGTTGTTACGTCATGTACAATGTACATGTACATAGAAAATGATCAATTTATAGTCGATTATAAAAGCAGAAAAGCACATATATATGTATGTACCAGCAAGAAGAGCTTCAAACTAACTTCCTTAAAATATCACAAAGGCAATCATCTTTTGGGAGGTAGGACAAAATGATCTGTTCGAGTATCTGGTAGAGATTACAGTAGTATAATTAAACAAAATTTTAAAACTCACTATTTTTAATGTCTTACTTATACGTGATGAAAGAGACGAAACTGGAAGCTTTACAGCAAAAATTTTTGGTACATTCAATGAAGTAACAAAAAACAGCCATTGAAGGAAAAAATTAAGAATTTATTAAAAATTGTATCTTAAATAGTACAGAGTATAAAATGACAATCTCAGAAACATTTTATCATTTTGAATCTAAAGCAGTGTTTGCATTGTTCAACTTCGCGTTCAACTCAACGCAGGGTTGCACGAAAAAAAGTTGGTTGGCTAAATGTTGGCTGGCAATCAACTTTGTTGAAAAAGTGGTTAGTTGAAAGGCTATTCAACCAAAAGTTGAATGCAAAGTTGTACAATGCAAACTCCTTTTTATGGCGAATATTTTAATACTTTTTCATATTTTGATATTTTAAGCCATTCAACTATTTTTTTTTTGTACATTTTGTATTTCTCATAGCCCTCCTAAAGAACGTAGTATATAAACTAGTCTTGTCGTCTTCCTTGCCAGTGGCAATTAATTTACCATTCTAATTTATATAGGCATCCATCATAGGCGTAGAATACTTCTCTCGCTGTGAGTTAGGTAATGAGAAATAACTAGAAGTTAAAATTCAAATTACATCTTTTGTAGAATATAAAGAACATTCAAAAGTAGCCTGGTAATGCAGCTAAGTCAGAGAAGAATTGAATTGAAATCGAATCAGACCTTTTGCAGCAAACATAATTTTCTCGAAATTCCCCAAAAGCTTTCTAATCTGTATTCGCCATCGTTGACGTTTCTGTGCCACACTTGCGAAATTTCTTTCATTTCAATGGCCTAAAGAATCGTAACAATAACTGTTGGCAAGATTAATTCCTCCCTTAATAATTATGTTAAAATTATTTATGGTGTTTATACTGGGAAGACTCTTTGTTAGCTTGCCAGGAGGCACTTTTTTCGTTATTCTCTTTTGCCTTTAAATCAATAACCTTTTAATGTATGGTACCGCTGTAATCATATAGACCAAAACCGTATTTGGTATCAAACAAAGCGGAGAGAACCTTCCGTTTTGGATGGAGCTAAAAGTTGTGCCAAATTCCATTCTACACAACGGTATATATTCCGGGGATCCTAAATTTAGATTTGGTGTGATAGATAGGTGTGGTTCGGTTCGGCTTACTCAATTTAAGGCTTCTGAAGTCAGTAGCATCTGCCCCTCAGCAGTGCGTTATTTTTTTTTATGAAAAAGAATCTAAAGCCATTGTGCGACACTTTATTCCGTTAAACCTAGGTTACTACCACCACAAGTCACTGCTACGGAACCTTCGATTAGGTAATACTTCTTAGAAGTGATGGAAAATTAAGTCTTCCTCACGGTAAACCTGTAGTATCGGTAAGAGCGATTTTTATTCGCTCAAATTTGTGATACATCGCTTACAATATATCTACGTACAATGGTTAAATGGCTTTCCGAAACCGCAACATACCAAACGTAGGCATTTCAATCACAGTGTAGTGTAGTTTTAAGTTAAGCACTGCTTTGCATTTCCTATCACACACACCCAAACAAACAAATATTTATTACAAAAGTAAACAACTTTGGAGCAGCTGCGCATTTTGCATACAAACACACCTAATGCTCAGCGCCTAAAAGCAAGCTGTATGTTTGCCAATGCTTCATAGGTTATTAGCCCCTTTAGATGGCCGATCTTCGACATTACTACACTCGTACGTGTGTATTGCGAACCCTTCCTTGCCAGCTAACCGCAAACGACTTGCTTTACTGAATTCAGCACAAACTGCATATTCACCGCAGCCGCATGTATGTACAAAGGCATGTACATACATATGTATTTGGGTCTACTATGGCGCAAATTGCCTGCATAAAAAATTCATATTGTAAAATGCTTATGCATACTAAACGTCAAATTTTCACAACATAATTTGAACCGCATATGTGCTGCAGGTACTTGAACATTTTTGTTAATTTGCAGGTGCCGAAATTTTTTCGTGGAAAAATGAAATTGAAATAAGTTAGTGGAAACTTAGTTTTTTAAATGGTTTGTGCCTAAATCTATTAGTGAGTACGCTAAGTGCTTTCTAAAACTTCGCTATAGCAGCAAGCTGAAAAAATACAAAAAAAAAAATTCAACAAAAAAATTGTTAACTATTTATTTAAAGCGACTTGATAAACTACGACGGCATATTTTCAAGAGGGAATGAAATCACGCATGCACATTTTCAATTTAACTGACAGATCGAACGCATTTTCCGCAAAATTGGCTCAAATCGATAAATAATTTAGTCAACTGAAAGCCACTTAAACCATTTAAATGGGCGGCACTCAGTATTGGTGTGGACAAAAAAAAAACATTTAAATAATTGGCACTTAAACAATTCTTTAACAAATTTTATTTGTTGCATAAATAGTATATACAAATAAATATATGTACATATGCATGTACGTGCATTTAACAGGAAAATGCATCACGCGCATACAAAAAAAGTAAAATAAAAAAAAACATACAAAATGCATTGCTTGTTTGTGTGCGCCAATTGTTTTTTTTGTATTTTCACATCAAATTGCTGTCAACTAAATTGAACAGCATTTAACAGTGCTGCAGTGGCAACAATAAAAACCCAACAGCAATAAAAAGTAGAAAACTTAAACCATATACCGTAAGCATTAAAAAATAGCATACGATTTGTTGCCATTGTAGTTGTTGTTTTTTTTTTTTTTGTTATTTGTAACATGTGATTTTGCATTGGTTTTTGCGCAGATTTTTATCGAATACGTATTTGTACGATTTTTGTGTGGCAATAAAATGCAAGTTAGCACCGATTTCCAATGAATGCAACAAGGCGCGACGCAATGCCACGCAGCACAACGAATGGGACAATTGCTGATGCAACGGCTATGGCAACAATAAAGACAAGAACAAACACAAGCGACTGAAGTACTGCATTTCGGTTTTTCATTTACTTTTTTTTTTTTTTGAACAATATATGTAGCTACGCAAGTATAACGTTTATGCGCATGTATGTATGTATGTATGTATATATGCCATAGTTAGTCGGCCAACAACAGCCAAAGCATTGTTATTGAAGCATTGCATTCAGCGCCCATAACCTTATAGTTTAACCCCTTTCAGTTGCCTTTTATCACACAGAGCCTACATTGTATGTAGGTGTCTAGGCACACATACATACGTACATATACCCAACTTCATGCATATCTACAACCGCCCATATGAGTCGCGCTTATGCAATATGCCGTTCTACATACATACATACATACATACTAACAGTAGGCAATCGCATATGAGCCTTTGGCGTTTCACTCCGCTTTCTGTTTATCGCTTGAAATCGCGCGAAAAAATTCGATTGAATGCACTTTTTTGCGATTAATGGATTGGAAAATGTTCGTAGTTAACTAGTACAAAACTGAGTGTGAGTGTGTGTATTTTATTATCAATGCGTAGTTGTTATATATGTACTCCGAGTAATATGCAGTAGTTTCATTGATACCGCCAGCCAGCCAGCCGCTAGCTCAGCAAGGGCGCATTTGCCACCAAGCAAAGTACTGCTATCCATGTGCGAGTTCAATTGCCACTTGAGAAAAGCAAAAAAAAAAAACAACGCAATATGTACAACAACAAATATTGAAGCACAACCTGCCATTCGCGATTTAACCTCGGGTGTGACTGGACGTGTTCTGCGCAAAACTATTAACTGTGACTTTAAGTTGATTTGGCGCTCGTGCACTTGTGTGTGCAGTATAACATAGTAATCTAGTTTTTATATTCTTGTGTGCTACTTGGTGTAGCTAGATTGATTTTTCACCGCCATTTTGTGCTCCGCTTTTGGCGTGTAGTGGAATTTTCGTTTTCGTTAACTAAGCACCACTATTTGGAGATAAATCTTTGGGTAAGTGATTTTGCCTTTTTTTTGAAGCTGTGAAAATCTTTTTGTTTCGTGGATAGTGGTCTCTTAAGCCGGAAGTCTGCCTAAGACGGCAGCAAAAAAATTGAAAGCCGCTATGGCGTCGTCGACATCACTGTCGAGGGCGTCATCGGCCGAGGATTTCGAGGCTCTCTCTAGTGTCAATCTTGCCAGAGGCAAGAGGCTCAAGAGGGACAATCATGAAAAAATTGTCAAACTTTTAAAGAAGCAGGATTTTGAAAAAATTAAAAGTGATTTTGGTTTGGGCAGTGAAGCTAATGAAAAAGCTGACGGAAAAAGTAGTGAGGTTATATGTGAGAACATGTGTGGCGGTGACATGGCGGTTGACGTCAACGTCGACGCAGCTAACGGCAGTGCAACGGGCACTCAAGAACCGCTAATCATGACTGGTGGCGATTTCAGCGTCAGTACAGTGACGGCAAAAAGTAAATGTAATGAACCTCTTACAACTATGACAATGTACCCGGCAGATTTCTCGGGAGTTTACTTGGTTTTGGTAGATACCTCGCAATGCAATGACATAATTAACACTAGAGTTACCAATGGACTTACTCTATTTAACAAAATTAAACACCTACGTTTCAAAGATATAGAGTTTATCCGCGCGATAGGGAAAAGTTTGTATAAGGTGACTTTTAAAAGCTGCGCTGCAGCTAATAATTTTCTATTAAGTACCAAGTTAAACGATCTAGGGCTTAGGGCGTTTGTTCCGAGGTCGGCTCTTGAAACGTACGGCGTGGTAAGAGGCATTCCCACTTTTTACAACGACGATGAAATTATGGCCAATGCGGTTTCCAGCATCCCCATAACCTCTATTAGGCGCTTCACACGTAGAGACAGTGAAAATGGTGTGTTCATTCCCACCACAACTATTAAAGTAGGATTCTCGGGCAAGGAATTGCCCAAGTACATAATACTAGACTACACTAAACTTAATGTCGACTTCTTCATTCCCCCCTTAAAGCAATGCTTAAACTGTGGAAGGCTTGGCCACACACAGTTCGCGTGCAAATCCAAAAAAAGGTGCACTAAATGTGGACTTGACCAATGTGAAGAAAGTTCGTGTAACAAAAAATGCATACTGTGTGGAGGTGTCGACCACATCTCGTCCGACAAATCAAAATGCGCTACCTGGGAAAGGGAACAAAACATCAATTATGTTAGGGCTGTCAAAAAGATGTCTCGACGTGAGACTATAAAAACATATTTCGACAACAGGGAAAATCGGTTTGATTTATTAGCAACTGAGGATGTAGACTTCCCCAAACTAGTTGATGAGGAAGAGACCACTCAAGATAGGGATGTGAACATTAACAGAAGATTGACCAAGGTGAAATTTAATGTTGTAGCACGCAGAGGCAGGCAGGAGGTCTCCAATGCGTCCAAATTACCCCAAAGAAGGGTAGAACGGAAGACAAGAGCTGAGACATCGTCCGTACTTGACAAGCCTGAATACCTTAAGGGGAAGGTATCTGAGCTTGAAAGGTTAGTAACAGATATGTTCAAAATCCTTCAAACAATATGTGCAGATGAGCGGTTGAGCGGCTCACTTAAAGAAATCTCCAAGCTCAAGCAGAAGTATGACTCAATAAAAATTCGAGAAGACTTAGAGGCAATTAGTGGCGGTCCCCCGTCACCCCCCTAATCATAACCCAATGAAAGTATTGCAATACAATTGCCAGTCATTGAAGGCTAATATTAATACAATCGAATTTTATTTAAATAACTACAATTTTGACATTGCTTGTTTAAGTGAAATTTTCACCTCTAGCGAACTAGCACATAGGAATATAACTAATTTTAATATAATAGAAAAAAATAGGGACGATGGATATGGCGGGGTGGCCATAATCCTGAATAAAAGAATTAAATTTCAAAGACTGCTTTATTCATCCGACTGTGATATACTTATAGCACAAACTAAGAATCTGGAGCCAAACCTTATCATATGTGCAGTATATTTTCCTCAGACCATTCTCATAGAGCCGTTCAAAGATGAAGTGTTTAGGCTTCTTACGTTCCTTGAAAAATTTGAAAATGTCTTGATTCTGGGAGACTTCAATGCCAGAGCTAGGGCATGGGGTGACCACGTCACCTCTTGTCGTGGTAACAACTTACACAAAATTATTTCCAACTTCAGCTTTTTTGCTCTAAATGATGGCTCGCACACCTTCAAAAGCAATGTAATGGCCACAAATGGCTCAGTACTCGATCTCTCATTCACTAACTGCAGCATGCCCTTAACATGGAAAACTGATCCAGTTACTATTGGTGGCAGCCACCACGTACCCATTATTATAGAATCCACTGCAATTCAGGTCACAGAAGTCAAATTCCTAGCTAAGCACAAACTTATAGAAAGCCTTCAACAAATCAATGTAGAACCAGACATCAATGATATTCACCACAAGCTTGAGGAAGAGGTCAGGGCTGCTACCTATACGATCTCCAAAAATAGAACACCCAAGGTATGGTGGAATGACTCACTAGCGAAACTGTTTAGATTCAAGAAGATAGCTCATAAGAAGTGTAGGACCCACCCCACCCCCGAAAACTTTCAAGCATACATCGATATTGAGGAGAAGTGGAAAGATCAGGTTAAAGAAGCAAAAAAAAGAAGCTTTGAACGAAAAATTGAGGAGTTGAATGACAATCCGTCCACAAAAGAAGCCTGGAGGTTTGTGAAGGCCCTAAGGGGTGACTTCAGAAACAACAGCAAACATGCATGGTCTAATGAGAACAACCGCAACTACCTCCACTTCCTCAAGTCTCAGGTATCCAACTCAGATCAGGTGATGCCTCTCAACAAGGAGATAGTAATAGCTAATAGTTTGGCCATAACGTTTGATGAACTTCATACAGCCATTCACTCAAAAAAAGGTAACTCTGCAGGGGGTTCAGACCATATAACTTACAACATGCTCAAAGCTCTACCTGACCAAGCCATAGGTAACATTAGAACTGCCTTGAACGACGTATTCCTCACTAATCAAATACCTGAGAGATGGCGCAGCATTAACATTGTACCCATACCCAAAAAGGACAAGGATCTTAAGGACATCAAAAACTTCCGTCCCATTGCTCTCCTTCCGGTGTTCATGAAATGCATCAACAGTGTCATTAAGAAGAGGATAGGAAACCAGCTGGAAGAAAGGGCTGCACTTCCCAGGCACTCTTTCGCATACAGAGAAAAGAGGTCAGCAACAGTATGCGTCAACTATCTACTGCATGAAATTGCCTGCCACAAGAGTCGAGGGTACAAAGTCCTGATCTGCTCAACAGACATCTGCAACGCATACAATTGTGTGAAAGTTTCGAAGCTTAGAACGACGATGATTGAGGAGGGGATTCACCGTACATATGTGGAGTGGATCACCAACTTTTTGGCGCTGAGAAGGCTGCAGTTGGGATCAGAGGCGGAGGAGATCTGCAATGGCCTACCACAGGGCAGTTGTCTCTCCCCCCTTTTATTTAATCTCTACACCAAGGGATTACATTCCATAGAAGACAGCATGACCACATTGTATCAATTTGCTGATGATTTCATCCTTTTGTCATTCCATCGTGACCTGGATCAGGCAGCCATGAACCTTCAACACAAGATAAATAGTTTTCACCTGCTATGTAACAACTTAAATCTCTCCTTCAATCCCGATAAGACCAAGTTCCTTAATATCTGCAGAGGTAGCAAAAAGACCTTCAACATAACGTGCCAAAATCAGTCACTGCAACAGGTGCAAAATCTAAACTTTCTAGGAAGGAATATTAGCGCATCCTTGGCTGTGAGCGAGCACTATAAAGTCACATTCAATAAATCACAAAATAACTCCTACCTTTTCAAATGTCTTACCTCTGTTAAAGCGGGTCTCCATCCCAGGGTAGCTCTAAACTACTACAAAGCCATCGTGAGAAGCAAAATAGAGTACTGTAGATCATCCATGGCAAACTGTGCGAAAACAGCCGACAAAAAGATCCAAACCTACCAGAACAGCTTCCTACGTAGAGCTCTGGGTTTAACTCCATCAACTCCAGTACCCCTAATTTATGCTCTGGCCAACGAGCTGCCGCCATGTGAACGGGCCAAATGGCTTACGGCCAAAGAAATTATGAGCAATCTCATCTATGACGTAACATTCAAAGCATTTTTATACGACTGCCCTAGAGCAAACTCCAGCTATAGCCTTGTCTTAAACGAATTCAAACATGTCTTTGACGGCCTCAATGTGGTCTGTAGCACGATTCTGCACAATAATTTAAATATAGTAATGAAAACCCTTCCAGACAAAAAAGACAACATTTCAAGCGAAAGGATTAGGTCCATTTACAACTCCTTAGTACACGATTATAAACGTGATAATTTTAAAATTTTTTTTACAGACGCATCAGT